GTGTTTTCAAAGGGTTGTTCTCTTAAGGGTCATGTCAGGAGTGTCAGCCCCTCAGGGACTTTGGCTTGTACTGTATGTCCATATCAATAATCAGTATTGTTTCCCCAGTGTGAAAAGAACTCACTCACACTTTCTCTTTCTGGTTAAAAATGTGGACAAGGAGTGTAACATTATGAGGGCAGTCCTATCTACATTCAAACAATGGACCCTAATGGTGAAACAAAGCCGCACATTGAAAGAAAATATGTAAAATCGTAGTGAAGATGTTTACAGAGAATTATACGGCCAACCAGTTCTTGTTTTTCCCAGAGCTGGAGCTGGCTTATAGGCCAATTTCACTGTCTACAATTCTCCAAGCATTTATTTTATTGGTCAACTAACAAAGAAGGAACTCCTCAGGATAGACATTTTATTGCATTATGCTATGGAACAAACACTGTGAGATCACTTTAAAAAGCATTCTTTCCTCAACTTCATTAAGCTTTCTAATTGTGTTTCAGTATCTCTTATTGAAAATGAGCCTATTAACTAATGCTGTGCAGGAAAAAGCATGTAAAAAAAAAAAAAAAAAAGCACGATTTTTCCACATAAACTGTGGTTACACCACACACACTCTCTGCTGCCAACTATGTTACATTTGAATGCAATAAACTCATTGCCTGGGAGTTGCTCAATACATAAGAACACATGACCATAAATGCTTTAATCAGGCTCAAAGGCAACTGCTGAATATCAGCACTGTAAAGGTCGGCTTGAGTAAACAAGTTAATGACGGGTTTTTTTTCTCACTTTTCAAGACAGTACATGTCTTGGAAAGAACTAATTAAAAACACATTGTAAACTGTAAACTTACACTGGCACCGGTTATCAACTGTGTAAGAAACCCACCAGGGGTTCAACACTTAACATACAGACTAAAGACTGGAGGGAGGAAAAGGAACGGGTGTGATGCTTGTTGAAAGGTGTATACGAGGACATGGGTCATAAAAATTAAATTGCAACTCACTGTAGGTTTATTCTGTAAGGAAGAGGTGTTTTTTTTCTATGAATTTATTCATAAAAATATCTTATAAAAGTCCTGACTCAGGTTTATTTAAAGAGCACTGTTTTCCTTAGAAAGGTCACTCAAGCATCCAAAGGTTGCACCAGATCTCTTAATAAAAGCTTTCAGCAGAGTTTGGATGCCAGAGGATGCCAAGAGCTTTGACTCCAGCGTCACCGTTAACCCAGTATGTGCTTATTCAATTACTGTCTGGGCACTATTGTTTCCCTCTCTCCACCTTCAGCCAGCACTGCTCGCATGAACACAAAGAGAGACAGTACCATACTTAGATCAGTGTTTATGCTGAATGTGCTGCATAATGTGGCAAATGTTTAATATTCAAAAGAGAATATGAAGTTGGCGTGTGTTTGTCTAATCCCTTTTAAAGATTCAGTGTTGCCCAGGGATGATTAAATGTGATGAATGGAAGAAGTGGGTCCATGTAAGCTCTGACACTACACAGACAAAAGCCTGCAAGAAGAGACACATGTGCAGTACACAAACGAATTATAGTCTATTCAATCTGACAGTATGTCCTGACCTAATTTAAATATGGCGTGCTTTAATGTAAAATGTCTCTTTTTTTCCACAATTGTTTTTTTTTTTTTTTTGCTAAAACCCTTAAAGAAATGATGCTGTTAGAGCTTTTTTATTCTACTGTTCCCAGATCTGTTATGCAAATGTAAAGTCATGCAACATATAAGCAATAAATCAAGATAATATCCATGCATTACCTCTTCCCTCTGATTTGTATGCAGAGAGTCTGCAGTTAAAGTCTTGATGAAATGAATTATGAACCTACATGGAATTACAGTGAAGCTCTCAGTCTGTAACCTTCAAACCGCACACAGAAGCCGTAACAACACAATGGGAGATTTGCAGCTGATATAAAACTCTAATGTAATTGACTGTGGGCCACAATCAGATAAGCAGGCCCATTTCACCATTTCCAACGTTAAATGTCAAATGACTTCAGCTGAGAGGAGAGCTCGGTGATAAAACGTAGCGCAGGCCCATTGTGGCCTGTCAGTCATGCAACAAGCCGGCCTCTTTAGTCCAAATGAAGCATGGGTTTTATGTTCTCAAACGAGGAACGAGCTGAGACACGGTGACAGTTCCTTTTTCATGCTTTTATGCCTGGATTCCCTCTTATCACAGAAAATGAATGTAACAATGCCGCTTTCCCATTCGTACACTTCGGTTAGGGGGAGTTAGCAGCCAACTTTTCAGCACCTGATAGATCTCAAGCCTGAACCTGAGGGTGAGGGTTGGGGTGTATTTATTTTCACTGTGATCATTTTCAGCTCTGTACAGAATTTAATGTTCACACAGGCGGTTGAAAGCTCAACTTGCCCTGAGGAATAACTCCCGTTGCTTATCATCAGTCAAAGTGACTGCCTCCCTCCACAGAGACAGAGAGAGATGAATGTACACACTGCATTAGTGGACTGTTTGCCATGACGGGAACAAATCGGGTCACAATACTCATACACACGAATCTGAGATCGCAGAGAACCATTACATTGCGAGCAGACAGGAAGGAAACCTCCAAAGTTAACGTGATTGAGGTGATGATGACAGCTCTCTGTCTGTGCTTCCTTTTATGTTGTCAGTGTGGCAGACAATTGTCAGCTGAAAGCTGCATGTTAGGCAAATCAAGCCATGTATCGCAGCTTCAGAGAGAATTTTAAGTGCAAAACAGGTTCAATCAGTTACAAAAAGTTTGGGTGTTGCCAGAGCCTCAACCAAAACAAGTAAAAGAGAATATGCTTCTTTCTTCTTTTTTTTAAAAGAAGAACTGTAAAGTTTTATTAGTTTATAGAACCCTGAACCCTGAATGGTTAAGCATCACCAAACCTAGTCGGCTGTCTTTCCCTCTGTCCTGCTAGCTGCTGCTTTAGATCATCAAACACTACAGTGTGAAATGTACCAATGGTTCAGACATAGACATATGGAGAGGCAGTGTATTGACCAAATTCAACTAACATTCAACTTCTGGAAATTCCTTAAAGAAACATCTTAAGACTTATCTGCTTTCATGTAGTTTCTTGTTGCTTCATTTGCCTCTACTGTTTCATTGGGGTTTAAATTGTTTGCAAATTTCAAGTGTTTACAATCTTTTAAAGATGTTTTATGTCATTTTAATCTGCATCTTCTGCATGAAAGGTGCCATTCAACTAAAGTTAAGACTAAAACTTAAAACTGCATCGTAACCATCATCAACATCAGAGAGACAGTGTGGAAACCAGCTACTCTGGAAGTGCTGTGAGGAGACACTTGCCAAGTTCATTAACCACAATGGCAAGACATGAAAGAAATCCATAGGGCCTGCTCCATGCCAGAATTATTAATTATCTGCCAGTCCATGTTTTTTTCTTTTCTTCCAAAGACAATTGGATCAGCAGGGTTTGTGGATTTTCAATCAAAAAAGTTGAAAATCTGTCAGATCTGACGCATCATCTCCTTCAGCTCTTTTGGCCCTGTTTCCTCTCCAGTCCAGCCGTGCCTGACAAGCCATTAGAGGGCCTGTCTGCCTGCAGCGGTGGATGGGCCGCACTCCAGAGGACACAGGGAGGCTGATAAGGCTTAAATCATGAGAGGACAGTGTGGAGGAGACAGCAGCAGAGGCCCTTTGTCTTTATTACCACCCGAGGATGAGCACTTAAAGGGAGGGATTAGATCTGCACATCAGTTTCTCTTTGTTTCTGTCTCTCTTAGTATTTGCTGACACCTACCCTTCCTTACCACATAACATTTTCTCATAGTGTTGTTTTCGTGCTGGGGGAGTGCCGGATAGCCAGGCTGCTGATTGGCTGCTCTGGAGCTCTTTTGTCACGTTTGTGCACACGTCCTGTTGCATTTGTTATGATGTGTAGGGAGTCACGCATGTCACATTGCCTGGACAGCAAACAGTAAATACTTCTGACAGGAGCTGTTGGGGAAAAGGGCTACTTAATGGCTGGACGCTTCAAAAGCGACAAGATAATATAAAATGGCCATCACTTTTTGTTATCTCAGCTATTTCTTTTGAAAGATGTTTTTCATTTTCTTCTCCTTGTGTCCCCGTGTGAAATGTGAATATACAAGTAAACATGGCGCACACAGACACACACACACACACACACACATCACACACATACAAACATGTATACAGTGCACAAAAAGAGGAGGAGGAAAACACATGCTCATGATGATTTGTTCCAATGCTAATGTGTGACATGTGGCTAACAGCACACTTTTCATGACTATGCTCTATAAAGATGCTGATAAACACCAATGGCTCCATGAGCAATTAGCTACATTCTCATTTGGTTTCACTGAGTAAACCCATCTTTAGTTTGGATGTTTGTTACAAACTCCTGTCAGAGAGAAGAAAATAATGTATAGTATGTCGATTTTGAAGGCACAGATTTGGAATTGAATTGCATGATACGAAATGATGTAACAGAGCAGACTGTAACCTTGTTACCACTTTAGTCCTGAGGCTGAAAAGGTTAAGCTCATAAGGATTATAAATAAAAGCCTTACTGATGTTTTATTGCCATAATGATACTCATCATCCTCGTGGAGGATTATTTCAGAATACCCATCAATTGGTGAATTACATGGGTAAGGCTATAATACATCATTACTGAATGTGCCTCATGCACAGACTCAGAGAGAAATATTCTGTTTGATTTCCTTTCCCACATGTGCGCTTCCTTGCGTTTAATGGAAAACACAACAATCTGACCTGAATGACACAGCTGTTCATACACTTCCAAATGTTTTTCAAATCATATTGTGATGAAAAGCAAACAAAACACACAAACTGTAGACATACATGCGCACAGATATATATATATATACACTGTATATATCAACTTTCCTATGTTGTTTGCCAGATTCGCGGATCGGCTGCAGGAAACCAGATACATGTGAAAAAGCAGCTCCACGGGCCGAGAACAAACTTGCTTACCTTGTAGAGCAGCGTGATGACCTGTCGCAATTTGAGCTTGTGGAAAACGCAGACGTCATACAGCGCGGATATAGCCAGGACGGTCACTCCGAGCTCCTTCCACAGCATGCTGCAGGCGGCGCAGCCCAGGCTGCCCAGGAACCAGGCCACGAGCCGCCAGGGCCCGGCGTGGCCCCGCAGCGTACAGTGACGTATGTAACACAGCAGGGACAGCAAGAAGAACAGGGCGGCGCCTTCATCGGCCCGGCCCACGATGCCCGCCACCGCCTCGGTGTGGATGGGGTGAGAGGCAAAGAGGAGGCCGGCCAACAGGCTCCACAGGCCTCCTCCCAGCAGCAGGCGAGCCAGCGAGGTAAACAGGCCTGTCACAGCTCCGTGGAAGGCCACATTAACCATGTGGTAACCCCAGGGGTCCAGCCCACCCACAGCGTGGTTGAGGCGGAAGGAGAGGGTGCAGAGGGGCCGGTAAGACTTATGACTGCCACTGTGCGTGAGTAAGGTGCCCCAGAAGTCATCGTAGAAGATATTTGTCCAGGGGGTCTCTGGAAGCAGGTCCTGATTGGTCTTGATTGCACGGCTGTAAAGAGAAAGGAAAAGGTTAGCGTACTGTAGCTGGATGGACCAGATTAATAATTGATGCAGCACTGAACGCTGTCTGTCAATTCAATTAATGTCACTGCTTCACTGTCTGACCACTTCACCGCTCTGCCACATTCAATAAAACAGCTACGTCTGAAAACAGTGTTTATTCTACTGGCAACACGCTGCAGCTTCTCTGATGAGGATGAACAGCTATTCTCTACCCAAGCAGACTAAGCAGAAAATATAGGCTGCTGTGAAATGTAACTTTACATTTGCTTACAGTTTTTTCCCCCCAGAGAGTCTGGTCACGTGGCATTCACAAACAGAAAAACAGAGTGCCAGCTTCAAGGTCTGGGCAGCTTTGCCACCGCAGCCACAGCTCTTACAGCTGTGGACTAGCAGATTAAGCAAGAGCACCACACCCTCAACCACAAACAAATACAGGCACGCAGCAGGGGAACGCCATGTTGGCAAAATGCAGCTTCGAGAGAAGGCGACCTGGGGTGACAATCGACATGCCAGCTCTGAGTTTGTCTGCCGCATGCAGAGGACTGGGGAGCAGCAGCAGCAGCATTGATGCAAAACTGAGAGATGTGTCCGTGTTTAAGGACGTTTCTAAACACCATATGTGTAGTTTCTGCCCCTCTTAGCAGACATGGCTACTGAGTATGAGGCCAGTTTGACTTCCCTTCTGTTAGGGACGAACCTGCGTGACCTAACCTAATGCTGCTACATCAGCCACAAGCTGTGTGCGTCAGTGGGTGGCGGGGATGGCCAGCAGGGGTCAAGGAAGAGGAAAAGAAAAAGGCACGTTTCTCCCTACAGGAGTCCTTCAGTGTTAGATGTTTTTCCCCCCCCCTATCTTTTCTGCCGTGCGATGAGGTGTCTGACACAGTGACAGGACTCCGCTGCTTTCACCGGGAGACGGTGGTGCTGATGATGATTTGAAGGCGACAGAATGAGACCCCCGCAGAGAGAAGGTGGTTGGCATTAGCAGAGCAGAGGTGTTGTAATTAAACGCGTGATCGATGGGACACGACACGTGATAACAAGCCAAGAGCACCGGGTTGTAATGTGTCCTCAACGGCAGTCGCAATCAACACACTCAATTAGTTCAAAGAGAGCTGGGTGGAGAAAATATGTGGAGTCTTTTTTTTTTCTTTTCTTTTTATCTATGAATTAAAGTAAACATTAAAGTGAGAAAAACGAATGAAGTGAAAAAGCTGTTGACTCACGAGTAATGAACTGCTTCCTCAGCCGTTCTGAGGCTCTTAAGCATAACACTTTACTTTGGCAAAAGCCTGCTGAACAACTGCCACCTCTCAATACCAGAAAGCTCATGGGGGAGCACGGTGTGGTGCAGCAGGGATGGCGGCATTCATCAAATCTTAAAAAAATAAAAAAAATCAACTGGCTCTCGAATAGAAATAGCCGCTCATATGATGGATCTAAGGGAAATAAATAGCACCTGGCCTCAGGATGTTGGAAGGGGCATAGAAATAATCAGCTGGGATATAATAGAAATGCCTTGGATGTCAGCGAACAGATGATTGGGTTTTCTCTACCTTCTCTAGTCAGACTGACGGAGGCTCCAGCCCTCCGACCGGCAGGCTTAAGAGCTGGTAGCCCAAGTCTCCACTTCATGACTCAGATATGCCAGTTTATTTTCTCTGGCCCATTTGTCAAGTGAGATCTTCATTCCACCGCAAGATGCTCACATAAGAGGCATTATGGTTCAATTACATCTCAAAGCCGCTTTGGAGACAAGTGCGCTCTTTTTCCATTGCACACTGCGGAGGAGCCAGCGAGGCCAGATATGTTATATATTGCTGCAAAACCACACCACATTTTTTTTTCTGGTAGAAAAAGCACAGACGAAAGCCAGTGCCAGTCAGTCAAAAAGCCCCACTGCGTTTATGGCCCTGGCTTCCTGAGTCGCCGCGCATGAGGTTCACCTCTCAGATTGTCTCCTTCTTATATGTCACGGAGGCCGAACAGAGCGCCGAACGCGCTGCGGTTGGGAGGCGGAGAACCGAGGACCGCGGAGAAAGAAGGCGGTGTAACCTCTGAACCCACTCACAGCAGATGAAAGGGATACACCCACAGCTGATTTAACACGTTTGCATTATACTCCAACTAGTCATGGTGAGTCTTCCCAATCTATGGCACGTCATTAATCCGCTGAACTTCTCCTTCATCATCATCATCATCATCATCACCACCATCCTCTACCAGCTCAGGGGCCAGCTGGAGAGAAAGATTGAGTTTCTGCGGCCGGCCGGGCCCATTTCTCAGTGGAGCTGGCGGCCGGGAGGACCTCTCCGTGCACTGCAAACCTTTTCCAGCCGGGAGCACATTCCTGCCCCCACCCGATCGCCAGCCTTTACGCAGACTCCCAGAGGAACAAGGGGATCATGTGGCCGCTAACAAGAGAAGGCCCTGAAAACTTTTCTACCTCCCATAACTGCTCCTCAATCATCTACTTCTTGCTGCCACCCTGAATTCCTCCACAGCTTCTCTGGATCTCAGTCATGCGCCTCGATCCGTCACAATCTGTTTGCCTGTCACAATATGGACTGAAACAGGGAGTGAAGTCAGAAACATAATTTTCTTGTGTGTGTGTGTGTGTGTGCGTGTGTGTGTGTGTGTGTGTGTGTGTGTGTGTGTGTGTGGGAGCAAAGTTCTTTGATTATTCAAATAAAGGCTGGTGTATTTGTGTAGATACATTATGTAGGGTTTTTGTGCATTCTGTACACATTATACTGTACACAGTGCCACTAATTTGAATGACTATGGTGAACCCAGAGACCCCAGAAAAGTTAACATTTCCTCAACTCTGAAATGAATTCACCAAAACAAAGATGTGTGATCCTGCTGAGGAGAGAAAACAAAGGCAGCATAGTGTCTGTTGTTGATGTCAAAGGCCTGACTGACTCTTCTCGCAGCTTCTTTTATTCTAGCACCACATCAGAGAGCAAACACAGGACCCTGATAATGGCCCACTTCTTCTACCATGCAGCGACTGTTCCCAGCTTGTCACAAAGCTGTCACATGTGTAAGATATTCTTTATTTGTGATCAAATTTTTACTTTTTCTTTTGGACCAAAATGGAAACGAGTCTTGTTTATATTCTTCTTCTTATTTGAATAAATGAACCACTGAGGAAGGACAATGGCTTTACACAGAGCTGTAGACCATGTAATTATAAAGAGTAAAATCAATTTCCAACATGGGCGTAGCTTGAACTCATCTTTTTTTCTTTTTTTTTGCTGAGTTCAAAAGCATTACCATGAAAAATGCTCCTGCTATCTCCTTATCTCCTTAGCTGAGAAATAATCATGTGAGAGCTAACCTCTTTACCCCTGGAACAGTTTCACTTATAATGTGAATGCACGAGCAGGATGATGGAAAAATAGCCAAGTCCAATGGCTGGAGGAGCCCATGTAAAAAGGCTCTCTTAAAATTGAAGATTGATTGGCTTTTTCGGTGGAGAGTCTGGGGAGGCTGGATATTAGGGATGAGATTGAAAACCAAGGACATGTCATCACGATTCGTCCTTTACAAGTGCTCAATGAATTTCAGATGGAGCTGTGAGTGAAATGGAGCTGTATGACCAAACACAAAAACCTTTTCTAAAATCCTCCAAAGTCTGAAGGAAAATGACATAAAACCATCCTCACCAAAGAATGCTGGGCATCTGTCCGCAAATAAATCACACAAGAGAAAAGCACAAGGCTCATTTTAAAGTAAGAGGCACTTTACATTGCTGAGAATATGGGAGCAAACTGACGGGCGTTCAAGAAGCAAACAGGAAGTATGTCAACAGCCACTTTGACAAAATGATGAAGGTTGGGGAAAAGGTTTAGTTATGATTATAATAAAAAAAAAAAGGTCAACTAAAATTTTAAATTTCACAAGTATCAACTTTGTGTGCCCTTTTGTCCTGGTAGGTGAAGCTGTAGAAATGAACCACAACAACACTGTATACGACTAGACCAATTAACAATATTCACACTGATTCCACAGTGGGTGAGAAAAGTGCAGACTAACCAGCACACGGTCTGGATCCTGAAACACTGAGGAGAAAGTCAGGCCTTTAAAATACAAAGCATATAAAGATTTCCATTTGTGACAGCATGTGAAAAGAAAATCAAATCTGGTGGGAGTCTGGGGAAAGTGATCGAAGGTCTGCCAACTATATGTCATCACCCGGCTTCAATATCTGAAAGAAGCACAGTGGTATTTTTAGACTGCCCACAGAGACACCGGGGTAGCCCGCTCAGTGTTTCCGGCATGCTCTTTTGTCTAATGTTTCTTCCCATGGGCATGCTAGCAGGTCATTAATGGCATACCTCCACTGCACTTATGGCACCTAATATAGAAAAAAAATGGTCTTTTCCTTCTGCTTAAAATATATTTTCAACTTTTTAAAAAGTTTTCTTTACTAGAATGCCAGATAGTAACAAAAATAAGTCTAAATATGTCTTAACGGCATAATTTTAATAGGCTATTTAAGAAAATATTATTCTTTCTGCTCTTACTTCTTTTCATGACATGAAAAATAAACAATGTCCTATTTTGTGTCTTTAGGGTACTGTGATTAATGTATTCAGCCAACTCTGAAAAAACTCATTTGTATACAACAATTATAGATGCGAAAGGTGATGGGGAATGAAAAACACGAAGGTGAAGGAGCATACTATGTAAAAATAAATAAATAAATAAATGTATAATTTGCTGTACTGTTACAAATAGCTCCTTAAAGCGTGGAGATATGGATCAGAGCTGCCAGCCATTGGCAATGCATGCCAAACAAGATAAAACATAATCAAGCATTAACATTTTTTGACTCGGTCAGCCAGGGAAGAAAAAAAAACCCCACCTGGGTCCCATTCAACATGGAGAAAGAAAGGTTCCAGATTTATTTTGGCTTACATTCAGAGCTCTCTATCTCTGTATCTTCAGGCTAAAATGTAATTAATAACACCACTATCA